TATAAACGACTATAACCAGTAGATATAAACGACTATAACCAGTAGATATAAACAACTATAACCAGTAGATATAAACAACTATAACCAGTAGATATAAACGACTATAACCAGTAGTTATAAACGGCTGTCTGTACCAATAATAACAACGGTACCACATCCTCGATACTCCAGTGGTTCGAGCTCGTTTGTAAAATTTAGTTAAAGGATGTTTGCGTTCATTTGAAAACGTAAATGAGTGAAGCCCTGGAATATCGAGGATGGCGGTACAGTAAAATAACAATAACCTAGACAGTGTACCAATGTGGGAAGGGAGACTATTCTAAGAATATCAACGGCTAAGTAAAAAAGGAATGACATCCTGTATTTTTAATAATGATATATATATATTTCCAGTGACTTATCATTTCGTTAACTTATAACTCATCGGTGGTTTAAAGGCCAAAACAATGAAATTCCACAGCTCAAGTGTTCAAAAACAGATGGTGAAATACAGTTTAATGATATATGTGCCTTTAAAACACTATAACGTTCAAATTTACAGCTTTTGGTTGAAATAGATAAATTCTTCTAAAATTATTATTTCATGTAAACCGTACCAAAATAAACCCCGGCTGCAACTGTCCTCGGGGATTACTTACGGCCCTCGGGGATTACTATGACAGCCCTCGGGGATTACTATGAAGACCCTCGGGGACTGATTTCCACTAACAGAGTGCAGTCTTTTGTTTCGTAAAACAATCATTGGAATTACAAGGTAAGCAAGGATATATTTAGAAATTGTTTGTTTCGATAGAAAAAGCAAAACAAAGTAAACATTTCATATTCAAAACCGAAAACTCATCATTTTTCTTCTGGTGTCATTAATCATAGGTTCCTGGTGTTATATATAACCAGATTCAGGGCGATCCACACACCATGCGGATATCATCAGCATATCATTACCACTGCTCTGACAGCCTACACACGTCCGTTCGATTTAAGTACAATATGCCCGCCCTTTACACTTCCTATAAACGTATGAATTCACAAAGTTCACCACATTAAAACATTACCTAGACATAATTACGACACAGGTATGTGTATTATAACAGTAAGGCGAGGACTGGTTGACGCTGCCAGAAGGCGAAATGACCTGTGTCACGTCAGGTGATGTTTCCCAGAGTATCTGTACAGGTGATGTCCAGTGACACATATATTTGTATCACTTAAGGACGTTTGCTACACATCAATGGCAGACTCTCATGTTTATTAGAAACAGGAATCTAATCAATGTCTCACGGCTCCTGACTGTTGCTTACTAGATTTATCAAAATTTATTTATATTTGGATACTACACAACGAGAGTAAGATAAAAAGAATCTTTGAGTTGCAGAACTTCTTTCTTAATAACCTTTTACAATATTTGCATGAGATCTACACCATTGTTTTAGCGTCACGTTAGAATCCATTGTTGTAATAATATAGTCAAATAATCCGTTATACAGTTACTTCATAATTAGTTGTCATAATTATACAACCAGCCACCTTGTGATAAGGTCACGATGAATGTTTATGGTTATAATGATATAGTCAGATCCTTTGTGATATACAGTAGTTACTTTATAATTCATTGTTGAACGATAAATGATGCCACCAGATTCTATGTGATCATGGTAGATATCAATTACTATAATGATACAATAAGGCCGTATCATAAGGTATATCATAAAGATAGTCGTTTTAACAGGTATTCTGAAGTCTCATTTATACATACATATCCTCAATCTAATGTTGACTTTAAAACATATTATACCATTGCAATTTGTTACGGGGACTTTATACGATCGATCACAGGTATTACGTCGTTGAGCCGGAGATCTGACAACAACAGGCCATTCTACATGTACGTAGTCGTCATGTGATGTAGGAGGAAACACTATGGAAACTTAGCTATCACCTGACAGGCCATAACATAAGAGTGTATACATATAGGTATGGTTTGTCTGGGACATGTCGTGGATGTGTTAATGTCACTTCCACGTGTTAGTGTAGTACCACTGTATATTTTAATGTTCTTGTTTTGCGAATAAAGACTGTCTATAGTAATAATATTGCGCTCATGTGTCTTGTTTTCGGGAAAGAAGACAGGTGTCTGAGAAATGGTGTTGTTGTTTTTATTTGATATTTAGGTAAATTTATTATAAACAAATTCGTGAATAAACGTGGGATTAATTAGCAGAATATGTACGCATAAATGAAGGTTAATCTTGATAGTAATTATTAATTTCTTGAGAGAGTATCATTCTATCAACACCGCAGTAAAAATATATAAACATAGATGTTTAAAGACTACATATACATAGACGATTTCTCTACTCAATGTTGTCAAAGATGTTATCACTTCTGTACCCGGTGCAGTTTTTTCCGTATCAACTTTAAATTGTTATATTGACCATGTGTGTTTTAGTAATTATGCCTATCTCATTATATTATTTTGCAGCAAAACTGATGGATATCGGGTAAAGCTAAATCTTAAACATAAATATAGCCTCATCATAATGCCACGGTTTGCTATTAACTACATATATAGCTCAATCTACATTACTCTCCTGGAGAAAGTCAAATCGTATTTCATTAATTTAATTGCGCATGAAGGCAACTTGGAGAAAGTCAAATTGTATTTCATTAATTTAATTCCACATACAGGTAACCTTTCTTCTGCTCATATATCTACTAAAGACAAATACTGAACACCAGATACACAAGTCCTAGAATTCAAAATGATCACCATTTCAGTCTATACTCAAACATATTCCATTATTTCTACAAAAGTTTCAAAACTAAAATAATAAATAAATAGCTTTGAAAATTTATTTAAGCATGTTGCTCCTTAATCCTGTTGTAGGCATGCACAGTGTGTATTAGACATATTACGCTGATATCTCTAAGACAGTAACACAAAAGGACAAGATGCTAAACGACACACATGTTGAAAACTATCGACACGTTTTAAGGTCGCAATCATGTTTTATGGAAGATTTATATTTTAGAACACGCTCATTAGAGTGATTTGTTGTTTCATTGTCACTACTGCGGTTCTCGCCTTGAGGACGTGACATCACTTATACTTGAAGTAAATGTATATGGCATGTGTTGGTGATGGGGCAGAAGACACTTATCATTCCAGACCACCTGGTCTTATTTCTTTGTACTTTTTCAAGAATCTCCTATAAACCTTTCTTCTGTTAATATTTTGCCCAGGTTTGAGATACGATTACGGTGTGTTTGATAATTTGATATTCTCTTGCTTTTTGTTGTTGTCAGGAGCAGAAATGTTAATTAGAGAATGGACTATACGAAACAAAACGTAGTTTTCTTTAAATGTTGTAAGAATATGTGTTCGTGTTAGCGATAAAAACTGAAACAGATAGTCAGGGATATGATGATGGGGTGAGTCACGCCCCTTTTTGTCTTTGCGGCAATGTCAAAACTTCGTAGTTACCGCTATAGACAAACTAATTATAATCTACTGTAATTAACACCGCAAACATTTATAAATGTGGGAATAAAACACTTACCTGTTACTGCTTAAACTCAGGTTACTTGTGAACATTCGAGGTAATGGGAGAGTTAATCCATTTTGGTAACGGTGGTATCGCACATTTGACAGCGGCCGCCATTGTTGGTGTGCTGACAGCTACATGGGACGAACGTCGTTTTGGACGTGATGGATGTTCGCAGGGCTGAGACCGAAATAAGACATCACCTTGTCTCCTGCCCCAGGCAACTTTACAAAATACAACAACCTATACGCATATGTACATAGAGGAACACCTTCAAAAAGCTTACTTTGCCTTAGGCTAACACTTGCATTTCGTTCTGTCAATGTGAAGTAACGGATCTTATTATTGTCACTGTTTTATGAGTTGACAAGCACTGTTTGCAATTACAATATATAACATCTAACCATTGACAAGCTGAACATTCTTTTGTTGATTAACTTCTAATATTTTGCTACTATTTCTTCGATTTTCAAGTCAACATATTGTAAATAAATGTTAAGGTACATAAAAATAACAACAGAACCTACGAGAAGGGATAATTATTTATTTGTCCAATACATAGATATAACGTAAATGTTAATCGAATAATTTTAACATAGGAGAATATTTGAATATTCTGTGTATACGAAATTAGAGCAAGAACCCACGAGACATCAAAAATAAGGAACGCGGGCATCATGTAACCGAACAAAAACTCCGAACAAAGACAGAAAAGATAAGCAGTTCCAGCACCACATCACGCACGCGTCATAATGTCTACCACCATATCCACAAGTGTAGAGAAGGTATTATTTTATCCTTGATGATTAATACTTATATTTCACGAGAGGAATGGATATTTAGATTGTTTTCCCGTCAGTGGGTAGCACGATTTAAAATATGAAAAAAGTTCAACCCATGAGTGTAACCTCATCGCACCAATGATATTCTGTTTCTCTTTAAGTTTTTCTTTATTTGATATGGCCTTCCGTAAATGATTAGCCCATATCCCTTACATTTGGAGACAGGAAATACCGTGGTAGTGGATAGTGTATGCAAGGTTGTACTTTCATGTAATGTAATGTTTATAAAATAGTTTTCAATAAATTAGTGGTGGTTATTATATACAATGTTGTACATTTAGTGGCAAGTATATACAATGTTGTACATTCAGTGGCAAGTATATACAATGTTGTACATTCAGTAGCAAGTTTACATAATGTTGTATAATTAGTGGTAAGTATATACAATGCTGTGTAATCTACAATGTTGTATAATTAGTGGTAAGTATATACAATGTGTGTAATCTACAATGTTGTGTAATTAGTGGTAAGTATATGCAATGTTGTGTAATCTACAATGTTGTATAATTAGTGGTAAGTAGATCCAAAGTTGTGTAATTAGTGGTAAGTATATACAAAGTTGAGTAATTAGTGGTAAGTATATACAAAGTTGTGTAATTAGTGATAATTATATACAATGTTGTATAATTAGTGGTAAGTTTGTAAGTAAATACAATATTGTATAATAAGTGGTAAGTATATACAATGTTGTATAATTAGTGGTAAGTTTATAAAATATTCTACAATTAGTGGTAAATATATCCAATGTTGTACACGTATTGGTAAGTATATACAATGTTGTATTATTAATTGGTGAATATATAAAACATAATTGGTAGATAAATAAAATGTTCTTCATTTACTCAACTCAAAGTAAAAACGATATTGTACTATCGCTCAGTATTATGGATTAATTATGTTCGGCTGTCTTTCCTTCTAAATTGCATTTGATACATTGTGTTCAGATAGGATATTAATAACTGTTTACATGAGCTATGCACATTAAAATTCTAGATCTATCATTTATACTAAGTTGTCGTACTTCCCAGATTGATAGGTTGAACAAGCCCATCTTACTGTATTTAACCAGTTCATGTGCTATTAATATAAACTTTATTTCATTCCAAATTAAGTTGCATTACATCACATAACATACAAAGTACAGAGGAATGGGATCCGGAAACAAGTTATAATAACTTATATAAATCCGTTTCCGAGAATGTATCTCATTAATTTAGGGCATGATAGTATAGTTACTGAATTCTATGGAAAGAAATATAAACACTTAAAACAGTAGCTTACTTTTAAACGTAGTTCAAGGGATATTTGAAATGAGAGTAAAAGAAAAGGGGTACAGGGGGGGGGGGGGATATAGATGCCCGTGCCAATAAGAATAGAAGGAGAAGAAATAGGTGATGTGAAACAAAGGATCGTTGTATAATGAATAGAACTTAGTCAAATCTTTTAGAATGGATGATGAAGTTTTGTACAGATGAAAAAATTAAGGCATTTTCGTCATCTGTAAGCTCATTATTCCCGAACAAAAGTAAATCAGTTGAGAGTGGATGATTGATTTCGTTAAATGTATGTAACCGTAGTTGAGAAAAAAGACAACAATGTAATAGATAATGTTCATTGGTTTCATTTGCTTGCATGCAAGAACACAGAGGACTATCAATTAGATTTCTCTGGTATAGATAAAACTTAAGGGAACTACACTCCATTCTTAATCTAGCATGATGTATCTGCCCAAGTCTGGTACCATTAAAGTAGAAAATTTTAATTTTGTGAGAGGGCTTGCGTAGATAGGTTTTAAGTTTATAGATTGAAGGGTCGTTCTTGACATAGTCAGGCAAGGAGTTCCAGATACTGATGACAGATGGCAAAAAAGATTTATTATAGAGACTCGTATGACTAACTAGTGGACGAAAATTATTTCCCGTGCGAGTATCATGGTTGTGGTAATTACGGTTACGCTGAGGTAGAATATCTAGAAGATATTGAGGAGCCAGACCATGAACCATTTTGTGGAAAAGAATAAGCTTGTGCTGTTTACGTCTTTCCTCGAGGGGAAGCCAACCTGTTTCAGTATACAGTTTAATTCTACTTGTGAGTCTAGTGCCGCCAGTGACTATGCGTGCTGCTTCTAATTGAAGATTTTCTAATAATTCAGATTGAGCTTTAGTAAGGCAGTCCCATAAGATATCGCCATAGTCTAATATAGGTCGAATAAGAGTGTAGTACATAGTTTGGAGACTATACCTGTCCAAAGAGAATTTAAATTTACGTAAGATATTTATTTTAGGTGAAATCTTAGATATCAAATAACTGATGTGTTCATTCCAATGACCATTTCCAGAGAGAAAAATACCTAAATGCTTGTGTGTAGCAACTTCAGAGATGTTAGTATTGTTCATATTTAAGGGAGGATGAAACGGTTTAATGGTTTTTCTACTAATGAGCAGGGTTTCTGTTTTGGATGGGTTAAAATTTACTAACCATCTTTGCGACCAGTTATGAAACTTATTAAGGTCACTATTAAGAATATCTGCGCTGACTCTAGGAATATCAACGGTTACGTAAAGAGAGGTGTCATCAGCGAATAACTTTATTTTAGCTTGTATATCTTTAACAATGTCATTTATATATATCAAAAATAAAAGAGGTCCAAGAATTGAGCCCTGTGGAACACCAGCCTTAACATTTAACCAATTTGAATTTTTACCATTGATGACAACTCTCTGCTTTCGATCGGAAAGATAATTTTCAAACCAAACTAATAGCGAATTTCGAATCCCATAGCTGGATAATTTACAAAGAAGGCCTTTATGCCAAACTCGATCGAAAGCTTTGCTAATATCACAGAAGACCATACGTATTTCCTTACCATTGTCTAAGGCTAAATATATATCATGAATGATCGCAAGAAGTTGATTTGATGGTGAGTCACCGTGCCTAAACCCAGATTGATGGGGGGATAGGAGGGAGTGAGTGTGCAAGAAATTGTAGACATATTTGAAGACACATTTTTCCATTAATTTACCAACGATCGATAGCAGTGATATAGGTCTGTAATTCGTTAATATAGACTTGTTATCTTTTTTATGCACAGGGGTGACGTTAGCAAGCTTCCATTCAGATGGGAATAAACCAGATCTAATTGACCTGTTAAAGAGATTTCTTAAGGGGACACATATGATATTTACTGATTCTTTAAGAAGACGAGGATTTACCAGGTCAGGACCAATGGCCTTAGAACAGTCAGTGGTAAGAATAGCATCTCTGACATCATTAGCTGTGATGTTAATATCAGATAAGGAATTATTACATTCGTCGTTAATGTTAGGGAGATTTACATTGGAATCATCAACTGTAGACTGGGCACAAAAGAAGTCATTAAATAAGCAAGCTTTCTCAAAGTCATCTGAGACAGTGCTATTGTTAAGAAGCAATGGTGGTATACAAAATTTACCAGAGTTAGGTAATAGTTGCTTTACAGTTTTCCACCATTGTTTAGCACTAATGTTGGAAGGTTTGCGAAGTTCGCTACATAAATTAGAAAAATATGTTAATTTGGCGTGCTTGATTGTGTTAACACATTTGTTACGAAGTCGACGAAACTTTGCCCAGTGAGCTTCAGTAAGGGTACGCTTGGCTTTTTTATGAGCGCGCTTACGTTTACGAATTAATCTCCTTATTTCGTTTGATAGCCAAGGGGGTTCATTAGATCTGATGGTTATTTTTTTATTCGGAATACAAGATTTAGCAATAGTAAGTAAAATATCTAAGAACTTTTTGACAGCATCATTAATATCATCAAAATCACTCAATAAATTCCAGTAAACTGAGCTGAGTTTTTCCCTAAATAAATCGTAATTTCCTAGGTCAAAAAGCCAAACGTTTCGCTTAAACACCTGCTGCACTGGCTTTGAAATATTAAAAGAACAGTAGATTGGACAATGGTATCTAACTATCATGTGCTATTACCTGACATTAGGTAGCAAGGGTCGCCATGTCCAACCTATCTAGATAATCGTGTCAAGGGAATAGGTTCCTCGTTATAAGGAAACATTTATTTGAAACACACATTAAAAAGGCATGGCGTCCCTTAATTATATTGCACAAAATAAGGAAACCAATCCCGGAATCCCAGAGTGACAATTTGTATAATAAGCAAACTTTTTTTTATCTAAGATTTGGACACAATAAATGGGAAAAGATAGAATAAGGAAGAAATGGTGTTTAACTACAGACGTAGTATTATGGTCAGTAAAGGAACAAACTGATTCGTTGTTTCCGTGTACTCGAGATTGCTGTTTGGGGACGAAAACAGTATCTTTCTCTGGGGTGCCGGGATTGGTTTTCTTATCGTGTGCAATATAATCAAGGAAGGCCAAACTTTTTTTATGTGTGTTTCAAGAAATGTTTCCTTATAACGAGGAAACCATTCCCCGCGATACGATTATTTAAAGATAGATTGGACATGATGATCCTTGTTACCTATAGGTCAAACACTAGGCCAAGTTTCAGATAGGCTGAAATATTATTTCGAACAATATAAGAGTTCCATTAATAGAGCAAGTCAACATAGTATCTACTCTAAACGATAAACGGTATTCTGTTGTATAGGTTACATCTATTAGTAAGAGAGGTAATCTAGGAAGGAGGCTTTACAAAGACTAACGCGCCTTTTCTTAAATGTAACCCATTGTCTCAGATCTTTGTCCGTGTTAAGTTGCATAGGTGTGTAAAATGGTGGGAGAAACAGGTGCCCAAACTCGTGATGATTTATTATCATTTTTCTCTTACTCTCGTTCGTTAATTTTCAAATTGCAAAATATACTTGGTAAAACTCGAGTCTTGATGCAATTTAAAGATTGAATAACTCGAGTTAGATCAACATGATAACCAACCATCACTCGTTGGGGAACCTCCATTTATATGTATAGAACAGGAACGGTAATTTGTATGAACGTTACAATTAACCCCTGGAATATGTCATGGCAAAATTGAAGGCACGAAGATAGCTGTTTGATTGGTCTAAGGTAAAAAAACAACCTGACCAATCGCTAGGCTGATACCTGTCCTTTGAAGATTACAAAGGAGAGACATCCAACTTCAAAGTCTGTCAATTTTTACCGTTACATGACCGCGAGATTCTTTTGATGAACATATTCCATGGGTGCAGAGAGCGAAAGTGAGCGTTACCCCTGGATATCGAGGATGGTTATAAGGTACTTGACGTACATAGAAGTTCTCAATCATTATGATTCATTCTGCTAAAACGCGACATATGGACGTCCTGGCGTTTCTTTATAGTTTGAACATTCTTCTACCCATTACATTTCAATACTTTCTGCTATTTTTTCCCAGAATATGACATTGCCTTGAGGATCATGCGGGTACTCTATGTATGACTTGGATCGGATGATGTCCATCACGTGTAAAGGAATGACAGCGGCGGGTACAGGGTTATACATAACAAGGAACAGCACAGTGGCCCCTTCTCGGGAGTAAATACTCTCCATTCGCGCCATGTTCAGCTCATACATACACCAGTAGGACCCGATGAAGTTTTCACTCATTATCACCACAGTTTTACGGCTAGAATGTATGGCGTTTGTGATATTAGCAGCTATGTCCATACCAGGAATGAAGTCTCGTCCATGTACACATAGTCGGAAGTGACGATTCTCCTCTAGATTTGTAATTAAATCATTCTTGATGAATCCAGATTCCTCTTCAGCGTATGAAATGAAGGCGTCAAACTGGAACTCGTGATTTTGGTCATCTCTGACTCTGGCGTAACCTCTGTACCTGTTCTTGGTGATGTAGTAAAGATAGCGGAGCTTCCATCTGTATCTGAACACAAGTCCAAACACCAAAATTGCTATACAGAATACGATAGCGGAGAGGACTCCGCCGATCAGTCCAATGTAGCTTGTGCAATCTTTCTCCAGCTGCCGAAGTGTCGTATCTAGGTCTGAAAACAAGACTCTGGTCTCATTATCTAGGCTACAACTGTATGTTTCAAATCTTTTAAAAACCCTCTGATTTAAGTTAATCCAGCGAATGGATGGAAGAGTAAGGCAAGAACAAACGAGTCTGTTATTACTCAGGTCTATCGTGAGATTTCCTGTCTTGGTAATCATATCGATGTCTCGTCTGTTCTGATTGGTCAGTTCTGATAGCTGGTTATGAGACAAATCCAGATACGTCAGATTCATCATGTGACCAATGTCGGCTTGCAACGAATTCATCAAGTTGAAACTCACATTCAAATCTTGCATACTAGATAAAGTATGAAATATTTTTCGAGGCAAACTATCAATTCTGTTCAAAGAAATGTCCAACTTAGTTATTCGGGTGTTGTTTTGAAACGTTTCGCCTTTTCTGTCGCGATTGATCATGAAGCCTAGGAGATTTGTGTGAAGGATCAGTGTTTTAAGAGAAGGAACATATCGGAAGAAATCGTTAGCTACATACGAGCAGAAGTTATTCGACAGATCCACGTATTCCAATTTGGTTAAATTGATGATGGGACCTCTCCATTCAACAAAGATATTGTTTTGAGCAAAAATATGAGTCAAGTTGTTCTCCGCGAAATGAAGCCTGGAAATAACGTACTGATAATGACATGCTTTCATAGAAACTGTTTCAAGACTTCTTGGTAAGTTGACAATGAAGGTCAACCCCTTTCCGGCATTACCCAAACGTTTTAAGGTAACCATGTTCGTCAGCCTAGCGTCGTTTTCGAGAAATGTTCCGTGTTTCTGGGGTCCTCTCCAATCCTGACAGCTGTGAAAACGATTTGTATCTTCATCTGGATTATGTGTAGTAAAGGAGTCGGATACATCAAGTTCACGGAGATGATTTAAAACGCTTATCTGAAGAACGTAAATGCCCATGGTGAACAGGTTGTCCCTGGTTGATATGTACCATACGGTGGGTGGGAGATAGTTAAAGGTATCGGACTGCAGCATGCTTATTCTGTTGCTGTTGATGTACAACTTCTCCAGTTTGGTATCGTTGAGGTATTTCATATCCTCCACTAAAAGGTAGGTCCCCACGCCATATGTACAATGTATCTTGGAAATGTCCAAAGTACGGATGTCTGTGAACCGTAAATCCGATGTGAGGTTTGATAATACGGAGAATGATAAATAGACGTTGTGTGATATGTTAAGATACATCAGGCGATGTAGTACAGAAATGGCGCCTGTGTCTATACGAGTGAGTTTACAAAACGACATATTGAGATACTGTATTACCGCTACATTCGCAAACATACCCCGGGTCAGAGACTTTATCTTACAGTTCCCCGTTAGGCTGGAGAGATCCAAGGTTTTTAGGTTTGACATGTTCTGATATTCTCCCGGGAAATCTGCGCCATCTATTCCATCAAGCTGAAGATATTTCAAAGATTTAATTCCTCCTATAGATCGCGGATATTGAGTATCCTCTTTTTGGGCGTTTTGTTTCAAATTCAAATATTGCAAGTTTGTCAGTGATTCAAATAATCCAGGTACGAAAATTGAAGCATTGTAATGTAATTTGTTATTCTTAAGATCCAAAACCATCAAACGTGCTAGTTTGTGTAAGGTATCTTTCCTGAATGATCTAAGATTGTTATTAGATAAGTCAAGAAATGTAACGTAATAGCCTATTTCTGCTGTTTTAGGAAAGCTACTGATTAAGTTATGGGAGAGACTAATCCACGTAACATCCGGTGAAAAAACTGGCGTGCCTCTCAGATCATTTTTAGAACAGTCAGCACCGATTTCACGGCCATTGGGGTCATGAGTTAGGACAAAGCATCTACATTTGGGCTCAGATGTGCAGTTGTTGAAATATTGATCTCCAAGTTCTACACCTGACAGAAGTCCCTGGCTTACCATTTGCAGTCCAAGTACGAGTTTTACTCTGAAACAAAATGGATCATTTTCTCAATTTTTAAATGAATATCAGCATGACCTGAATCGAAAAAGATCAAGAAAACCATATGTATTTGTTTAGTTTGTGTCCGGGTTATGCGATCCGCCCCAATACCACCAAAGGGACAGGCAGTAATCATGTTTCCAGCTATAAGCGTAACGTATAGCGACGCATAACGTGTTTATGTACTAGAAGCGTTGAATTATTAATAGTTCCAAATATGGATACACTATTAAATAAATAAAAGGTACAAATATGGATACACTATTAAATTGATAATAGTTACAAACATTGATATACTATTAAATTGATAATAGTTACAAACATAGATATGTTCCGTAATAGCTACTTATGGTTAGAGGATATCTATTTACTTACAGGTTATACATGGCTGTCACTACCTAACAGGACCAGACAACAGGTTCCGTAAGAGCTACTAATGGTAAGAGGATATCTATATAATTACAGGTTATACATGGCTGTCACTACTCACCAGGACCAGACTACAGGTTCCTTAACAGCTACTAATGGTTAGAGGATATCTATATATCTACAGGTTATACATGTCTGTCACTACTCACCAGGACCAGACTACAGGTTCCTTAACAGCTACTAATGGTTAGAGGATATCTATGTACTTACAGGTTATACATGGCTGTCACTACTCACCAGGACCAGACAACAGGTTCCTTAACAGCTACTAATGGTTAGAGGATATCTATATATCTACAGGTTATACATGGCTGTCACTACTCACCAGGACCAGACAACAGGTTCCGTAACAGCTACTAATGGTTAGAGGATATCTATGTACTTACAGGTTATACATGGCTGTCACTACTGGTGGATAGATGACGTCGATGCTTTCACTGCTAAAGTGCAGACAGGAGTTCCTTCCAAACGTTTAAAAGCAAGTTTGGCATAAGTAAAAGGAAATCCGTTTGAGAGATTGATTCATATATATTGAACTTAAATAAAAACGGAAGTATTTCTGACGTGAAATGAATTTAAGGAAACAAAGGCTCAGGGAAGTTGGTGTCTAAAATAGCAGGTAGCGGCCATTATATCTGATATATAGTATTTATATAGAACATGTATAAATACTTTCGATTAACATTAATTTCTTTGGAAAATAAAGACACGAGTTGCTATCCATCACAACGCTTGAACCCAGGTTATTATCGTCACACCGTCTGTCCCCGAGTTATCATCTGTCACATAATCTTTTCCCGAGTTGTCATCCGTCACATCGCCTGACCCCGGGTTGTAATCCATCACACCGCATGACCCCGGGTCGTCATCGTCACACCGTCTGTCCCCGATTTGTCATCTTTCACATCGTTTGTTTCCGAGTTGTCATCCGTCACACCGTCTGTCCCCGAGTTGTCATCTGTAACATCGTCTGTCCCCGAGATGTCATCCGCCACACTTTCTGTCACCGGGTTGTCATCGTCACACCGTCTGTTTCCGATATATCATCTGTCACCCCGTCTGTCCCCGAGTTGTCATCCGTCACACCGTCTGTGTCCGGGTTGTCATCAGTAATACAATCTGTTCCAGAGTTGTCATCCGTCACACCGTCTGTCCATGGGTTGTCATCCGAATTATTTCCTCGAACCATCTAATTCCGTGAGAACGCTTTCACATTTTATGGACGTATGGTGTTTTTACTTTGTGTGCTCATTCGTCACACGCTCTGCTATGATAATTGTTTAGATGCCATTTTCCACACTGCTTTAATGCGACTGTCTTTAAGCTGTTATCCGTTACACTGTCTGTTCCCGAGTTGTCATCCGTCAACCTGTCCTAATTTGTCTGTCAATTCGCAAGTTGTCCCCGAGTAAGCGTCCGTCTGTCCCCGAGTTGTCATCCGTCTCCTCGTCTGTCCCCGAGTTGTCATCCGTCACACTGCCTGTCCCCGAATTGCCATCCGCCACACCGTCTGTCCCCTAGATGTCATTCGTCATACCGTCTGTTCCTGAGTTGTCATTCATTACACCGTCTGTCCCCGAGATGTCATTCGTCACTCCGTCTGTCCCCGAGTTGTCATCCATCACACCGTCTCTCCCCGAGATGTCATTCGTCACTCCGTCTGTCCCCAATTGTCCTCCATCACACCGTCTCTCTCCGAGTTGTCATTCGTCACTCATGCCATTCGTCACTCCGTCTGTCCCCAATTGTCATCCATCACACCGTCTCTCTCCGAGTTGTCATTCGTCACTGATGTCATTCGTCACTCCGTCTGTCCCCAATTGTCATCCATCACACCGTCTCTCTCCGAGTTGTCATCCATCACACCGTCTCTCTCCGAGTTGTCATTCGTCACTCCGTCTGTTCCTGAGTTGTCATCCGTCATTCCGTCTGTCCCCGAGTCGTCATCCATCACACCGTCTCTCCCCGAGAAGTCATCCATCACACCGTCTCTCTCCGAGTTGTCATCCGTCACTCCGTCTCTCCCCGAGTCGTCATTCGTCACTCCGTCTGTTCCTGAGTTGTCATTCGTCACTCCGTCTGTTCATGAGTTGTCATTCGTCACTCCGTCTGTTCATGAGTTGTCATTCGTCACTTCATCTATCCCCGAGTTGTCATCCATCACACCGTCTCTCCCCGCGATGTCTTCCGTCACACTGCCCGTCCCCGAATTGCCATCCGCCACACCGTCTCTCCCCGAGTTGTCATTCGTCACTCCGTCTGTTCCCGAGCTGTCATTCGTCACTCCGTCTGTTCCCGAGTTGTCATCCATCACACCGCCTCTCCCAGAGTTGTCATTCGTCACTCCGTCTGTTCCCGAGTTGTCATTCGTCACTCCGTCTGTTCCCGAGTTGTCATCCGTCACAATGTCATATGTGATGGTGATGTTGTTGTTGGTTCAATATTGTCCAATGTTGATAACCTACAAAGGTAGGTTTGTATACAAATGTACGTTCGTGTTTAAAAATAGCAGTTAATAGTTAATTTCATTACTTCTATAACCAATGAAAAATATATGTCAGCTTAATACCGACACCAACGTTCTGTATATACTGCCTGTGACAGCGCCTTACCCTGTGGACTAGATGATTACGATCATTATAGGATAATGTTTTGCCTCCCGTTCGCACTGACCTAATTGACACAGATAGATGTGATACCTACAGAGTCAGCAACAACACCCATTTATATACAGGAATGTCGATATAGCCTTCTGAAACAGAAAGGTATCGTCTTTCCGAAATCAGCGCAAAATGCGAATCGTTTCCATGGCGATGTTTACCTGTGATCAATACCTCTGTAGGTGCCACCGTATTAGGTATCAGACAGATGTGGCGGATATCTGTAGATGTAGTTCACTGAATTAGGATGAAAATGTTTGCCAAATGTAACAGTTCACGCATACGAACTACGTTTAAGATAATTACAGCTGACATTGTTTTCGAGGCGGTGCTGATGCTTGGCCTTGTCCATCTCGTTAGAGGTAAGTGTTGACACTATTCCCCTACATATACTATACCTCAGTAAGCTGATGCTGGGCCTTGTCTATGTCGTTAGAGGTAAGTGTTAACACTATTCCCCTACATATACTATACCTCAGTAAGTAATCATATATCATATCTGACCTGTTTCTTGATAAAGGCCACATTCACACAAACAGACATTCGTAGTGCTTTCTGTGATTTGAAAATCGGATGTAAAATGTGTGTCCTTTTTGAAAAGAAGCCATTACATTTACAAACATAAAAAGTTGTTTCAGGTTATTCTTCATACCGAGTAATTAACAATGATTAGCACTGTCTGAGGTAAAATGTGTTGTTGGGCAGTACTTCCACAAATATGTGGTCCGCTTCGTTTGTCTTAACCATTTCACCCCTATGTAACTTTAGTTGACTCTACCATGCATTGATCTGGACGAGTCCATTATGGTCTAAGTGGTGAAAGGGTTAAAGTTTGGGACTCAGTTTTCGTTTGTGACGCACTATTAAAGACTCCTCATCGCGTAGTTAGATATGTGGTTCCTTTGCTCTAACACCAGTTCTGTGCGTGCTTGCTATAAACGTTTTCTGTTGTAAAATCTTGGTGGTCATTTTCAGCAGAACATGTACATGCACTTTGGAAAAACTGATAAAATATCGTTAGGTTTTGGGTTATGCTTAACAAAATGAAAGTTTTGCCAACTGTTCCAGAAGTTTGTGATGTTCTAAAAAAAGTAGGGACCTTTCTCTTGTTATGTATCTGTACAAGGTATAGTTATACGTTAATATCTCCACTATAACCAGCAATGGTTAAAGTAACAACAGCAATATATTACAATAAAATTGCTTTGTTTTTGTCTTAAAAATGAATTATTTTCTTCTGAAAAATGCATAGTAACAATTGATCATCAAGGTAACGAAACCTTGATTTTTGTTTGGTGATAAAAAAACACTTAAAATATTTCTCCTATTCTCTTTCCTTTTTAATGAAGCGTATTATGTTCACGTAAGCAACGGACCTTATGCTGTTAGCTTGGGAATTAAATGACCTATGCATTGGACAGCCCGAAAATCAATAGTGGGTTGTTTTATAACCAAACGTATTATGATCATCAGAGATATAGCAGCCAAGCACGATTCTTGATTACTATTTGTGTATGAGTGACCAATTGTATAAGATTAAGTCGGATGGGCGACAATGTTATTATAAGTCGGATGGGCGACAATGTTATATTAAGTCGAAGATGCCATTAACTAGATAACTACGATGATAAGTGTGTGGTTAATTACTAAAATAATGAACCTTCTATTGTAGGTACAGGATGTCCTAAGGGAGGGCCTTCTAGTAAGTATATACAATGTAAGTATATACAATGTAAGTATATACAATGTAAGTATAATATACAATGTAAGTATATATACAATGTGAGTATATATACAATGTAAGTATATATAATATAAGTATATACAATGTTAGTATATATAAGTATATACAATATAAGTATATATACAATGTAAGTATTTATACAATGTAAGAATAATATACAATGTAAGTATATATACAATGTAAGTATATATACAATGTAAGCATGGAGCAAAGAAGTAATTCCAACAGTGTGGACAAGTTTAGGTTGTCAAATTTTCAGAGCGATTCGTTCCTTTTTCAAGAAACAGTGAAACAGAACAGTTACATATACATATACATCATATTACAAGAAGATAGAACTGATATACAATAATTGAAAATATAGCTATTATATAAAACCAATAGTCCCCTTGGCTAAAGACAGCCGTAAGTATATATACCATGTAAGTATATACAATGTAAGTATATATACAATGTATATATACAATGTAAGTATATATAATATAAGTATATACAATATAAGTATATATAATATAAATATATACACAATGTAAGTATATACAATGTAAGTATATATACAATGTAAGCATATACAATGTAAGTATATATACAATGTAAGTATATACAATGTAAGTATATA